ACTAGCTAATACTTTAATTCAAATTTTTTTTTTAAATCTGTGCGATTTAAAAAAATGTATGTGGTAGCAACTCACATTTTTCTATTATCAAGTGAATAAGAACTGTTGACAATAAATATCTATTGAAAATGTCAAAAATTTTGGAAACTGTGATGCTTTAGATTTTAAAATGAAATGATGATGCGATTTAGAATAAGTTTATTCTAAAGAAAAAAGAAAATTCAATTCTCAAAAATTGTAATTAAAGCTTTTAAAGTTCCTTATTAAATTTGTACATGAATCCTAAGGTGTGAATAATTCATTTGCTTTGAAAATTTTCTATAATTTATGATATTCAATGAAACATACTTAATTTTGTAAGTTGCGGTTTTACTTAATTTAAGCATTATTTGATTACTATCCCTTGTCTACTACCACACCAGTTCAAAAGTTTTCTAAAAGGCACAAAAATAGAATTTGATTCTTAAATAAAATGTTGTTAGTCAAAATGTTCTCACTTTGCGAGTAGCTAATTTCAATAATTTAATTAATTTATTTCGATAATTAATTAGAATTAGACACTTTCAGAATTACTAACGGTCTAGTATATTCGATAAAATCCAAATATATGCAAAAAAAATCTTTATTATTCAAGACTGACTAAAATGTAACGACTTTTTGAAAAACAATATTATTATAAAATTTTTGATCATCTTTCATTTTCATTACGCAAGGATCTGAGCTATGTAATACTTATTTGCATAATAATATTCTATATTGAAATTTCGCAGACAAGGCAAGCGTAAATTGCCCAATGGGTCTCAAATGCTACTGCATTATACAACTCAAGGAGTTACTATATAACTTAATTTCAATTATTTGATTTTCAAATGTTTGGTATTGACCAATTTAAACCTAAGCACATGGATGCACAGTAATGTCAATTGATTTGAAACATTTTATTAAAGTAATTTTTGATCAAATTTTGGTTATAGAATTTTTCAATCTCGGCATTTTAAAGTTAAACAAACAGAATCCTTAAAAGATGAAATTCATTTAACAAATTACAAAGAAAATAAAAAAAATATAGGGAAAACTTTAAGAAAAGTTTTAAATTAAACTAAAAATTAAAAGTTTAAACATAAGAAAGTTTTTCATGCTGGCACAGATTTATTTTTTGTAGTTTATAAGAGAGATAGGGAAATTTTCTATCTATAAAACTATTAAAACCATACTAAACCTACACAATGCATTGCATATTCTTCAATAAAGCAAAACTTCTATTGAAAAAAAAACTTTTTTTTTCCTATGCTGTTCAACAACTTTTTTTTTTTTATTATTTAATTTACTTTAAAAACAATTTAAACTAGTTATATAAAGAAAAATAAAAGAAAACAAGTTATAAATTAAATTTTTGCTGTTTTTCAAACTGGAATTGCAAAAACAACCTAATTTGTTAATTACAGCATTTACCAAACGTTTAAACAATTATGCTTTTATAGTAATGGGAATTATGTACAAAGTACTTTTGAATCAAATCAATTTTGGAAGCTGTCAATATATTTTGCACAAATGAACAAAATAATTTATTTGTAAGGTTGTATAAAATTGAATTTATTGTTAACAATTTCCAGGAAATTGAAATTTATTGAAATATTTTATTGTTTTATTGGATTTGAAATGCAAAATAGCAATAATTGAGTGTTTCTGAAATTGATTTAATATTAAAAAATTATTTAATGACGTATTGACTTAGAGGATATTTTTTAACACTATATTTGGCAACATGACTGACGTTTATATACTACAAATCAATTTTGAATAATTATAAAATTGTATACAGGGTGTCCGATACTCAATTTTATTCCCAATACAGCACGATAGAATTACTTCAGGCAAACAAAAATCACATAGTGCCATTTTACTTTTTGGGCCCTCCTCTTCGAGTTATGGGGCTTCAAAGTTGAAATATGTGAAAACCGTCTAATTTTTTGTATTTTTATTTATAACTCGGAAAGCATAATAAGTAAAGCAAACTTTGTATACTCATTTTAAAGCTAAAGGAATTCTAAGTGATTCTAAGTAATTGGAAAGACTTTTTTTTGTTTCAGAGATATTTAAGGGCAAAATCAAAATTTAGCCAAAAATTATTTATGTACTTCTATTCCATTTATATAACAAATTTGTAAATTTATTGCATATATTTAGGATGAGGCAAAAAAAAAATATAGTAAATGAAGTGGTACCATAATGGTTAAATTGAATGGTTGTCAGTTAAAACAAATATAATTACAATTTTTTAATGGTGTGGCATTTACTGTTAGCTTTCTGATTTTGTAGAAAAATAAGAAATCTTGCATTCCTAAAAATATAAGGCATCCAAAATTTAAATTTTCCGAATTTCAAGAGGTGATTTAGACTGGAAAAAAAATACTTCCAACGAAATAAATTATTTATCAGTGTTTAAGGGGTGCTAAAGTTTCAGAATTTTTCAGAAATTCTAAGGTTTACCGTATAGGAGAAAAACGATGTTAAAAAAATGGTTTATATAATCGATTATTTTAATGGCCATTTTGCCATTTTAATGTGTAGCTATGATTTTCTGCGGAAATGAAGCATTTTGTTACCTTATTGCGTTAGTACAATTTAAAAATCATTTGTTTAGCGTTTCGATGCAATAAATAATCAAAAAATGGAACTTTTACGGCTTTGGCGGGAGAAGAAATAGATAAAAATTTTCTTCTACAGAAATAGCGAAGTTTCTAGTGAAAATGCACAAAGGATTGTGTGTAAAATTTCAGCTTTCTATCTGGAAAAATGTAGAATTTTTGTGATATATGCCGGACAGAGAGAGTAAAAGTAATAAATTAATTTTTTTCATATTCTTTACTAAAAAGTTGCTATGTAAAAAACATTTAACAGCAAAATTTGCTCACTTTTGTTATTTATTAAGCAAAATTTTTACCATTCTTTTTTTCAGATACATATTTATTCAAAAAGGTATTGCCAGTTATTTTGAATTTTAAGCGATCGCAAACATTGCAAAGACTAGTGTTTATTTTTTAATGTTCAAATATATGTATTTAATTTTTCATTTAATAGTGTAGTTGAGCGTTGTGGTCAGTGGTACGATAAAATTTCATTGGCACGATATCAGGCTACAATGTGACTGAAAAAATTTTGTAAAACATGAATTTTCAAAATACTTCTATATTTGTAACCTATTTCTAGTTTCATTCGAATGGAATCGGACAAAACCGCAGAAAATTTTACTATTCATTCACGGAGAGGAAAAAATTTCTTTGATAATATTTTTTGCTTACAAAAACAACTACAATGAGTGGGCCTTAAATTTTTAATTTCACATAAATTACAAACTATATAAAATATCTCATAATTCATAAAATCGGGATTTTTTTTCAACCGAACCCTAAAATTATAATTTAACACATAAACTATTTTATTGTGATTTGAATTTAATACATCATAAATATTAAAATATTTTTTTTGTAAAGAAATTCACTTAAGAAAAGATATTTTTAATCTTTAATTCAAAAAATCTAATTTAATAGGGTTGAAAAGGAACGCCAATATTCTTCTGTTCTGTTTTTGACTATTAAAGCAATTTTTTTTAAGAAAATAATTTTCATTGACAGTCTCTACACTCTATAAGTTTCATGGTTTCATAATAATAAGCTGAAAAACTTATCTAATATTTATAACTTTTATTATTAATCTTATATAATACTTAAATTTATTAGTTTAGGATTATAAAATTAAAAGTTTATGAAATTAAGCTTAAAATTTATTTTCTTAAAAGCAACAAAAATTTAATTTCTTAAGATAAAATAGAGGGTAATCGTGGGCGATTAAATAGATAAAATAGAAATTAATTATTAAATTTCTAATAAATTAATTCATTCATTTTCATATTATTTTACTATTATTGTATATTTTTTTTGGTAGATCACGATTTTAACATAAATAAAATTAAAATTTAAAATTAACACGAAAAAAATTAATTCTATTATAAAAAAAAAATTTTTTTGGAGATAAAAAAAACTTCAACTATCTGACATTTAATAAACATAGAATGACTATTTTAATTATCTGTATAGGATCAACTGTATAGGAGAAGTAATTTTAACTACTATTGAAAAGTATACGATTGTAAAAAGTTAATCTTAATGGCATATATGAAAAGGAATTAATGAATTCAATAAATTTAATTGTACTTTAGTATCACACATACATGACCTGATAAATTTCAAACTTTCTATGTATAAAATCACAGAGATAAAAATTGAATTACAATACGAGTATGCATTTACTGTCATGGCACAAACGATGCCATTTATAAAATTATACCGTATGTGATAACATAATAAATTATTATCAAGTGTAAAATATAAATAATATTGATAAGTGTATCATAAATTGATGAGTATAAGATTACAACAGGAAACTTAGACAAAATGTATGCGGTCTCATGGTTGTTATTCTAAAAAAAAAGTTGCAAGAGTGACATACATAATATGCAGTTGGCCAATTATGCTAGTCTATAGAAAGGGTTGGTTAAGGTAGATTCGTCTATAGTAAGGTGTGGTGTGTAATCACAGATATGTATTTATTCCAGTAGATGGCTTTATTGTTTTTTATAGAAAAAAAAAGATTTTTAAGGTTATAAAATCACTTTACGTCACTCTGCTACTCATATATTATTATGTATATGGAAATTCTGTTGCCTGTGAGAAAAATGTAATATGGTAATTTTAAATATGAAAGACATATATTTTTCGTTTTAATATATAATATAACCATCTATCGGAGTACATTTGATTAATAACTTCTTTCATCTACTATTTTATAATAAATTCGTGGTGTTCCAAATTTCTTATAAAAGAATATGGAAAATTACTTAAATTTTTTCGAATATTTAAAACTTCGAAATTCTAATTAAAAATTTTGACTAATTGAATTTCATAGATTAAATTTATTTAAAATTTAATAAATATACTTACTTAATGTTACGTTATATGTTTTTTGTAAATCAACTTGGCCCCTTAATGCTCTTAAACGTCTTAATTTTGATTCTTGAGCTTCAACACGTTCTCTTAATCTACGTAATCGTTCACCTTCAGCAGCAGCAGCAGCACCACGTGCTTCTTGTGCTTTAAGGAAACGTAAACGTTGTTCTTTGGCAGCTAACAGCTGATGCTGTGAATCAATTTGTTGTTGTTGACGTAATGCCATTGCCCTTAATTCAGCAGGTGATGGCCTGCCGGGCACCTATAAAATAAAATCAAAAAATTCTATTTAGTATATTTTAATTAAGAAAAAACTTTTATTGTATGAAATTTTTTTTTTTTTTGGTGAATAATTGTAATAAAAAATTAAATTTAAATTTTAATTTTTTATGATAATAAATTAAAAATGTAATAAAATTACAATGATTTTTTAAGTTTTTTTTTTTCAAAAAATAAAAATAAACATGAAATCAAGTATATATAGTGTAGGAAGTGAAAAATATAGGTAACAACCTACTTATAATATTAACATTGTAATGAAAATTTATGCATAATAAAATTAAAAGTAACAAAACTAACTATACTATTATTACAATATTTACAAATATTATTGTAAAAAATAAAATTATTTTAACAATAATAACTATTTTTATAAACACTTATTATATTAAGCGTGTATATTTGAATGCAATGCTTGTGTTTGGTTTGTTGTTAGTAGCGAACGTTGAACTATAAAACAGGATTATCTTTCGTAATTTTGATAATATTAACCATATTAAGGTTTATGAGATTTTTTACAAAGTAGCAATATAAAAATAGTAAAAATTTTTAACATGATATAAAATAAATGAATTTTTTTAACATATGAATGAAGTGAATAATATATGAAATATTGTTGTCTGGTTACAATGTAAAGAAAATATTTTTATAATTTTGTAATATTATGATAATGAATAATTAAATATAATTTTATAATATTTAATTATTCATGCAGTAACTGCTTCTGTACTGCGAATTTTTTATAGATGTAATAATAAAACACGATAGTAACAATAATTATGACCTTAGCCACACTCCAATAGTAATTGTTAATTAATTTTTATATTACATTAAGAAGCAAGAGAACTTATACGCAGTGTTTGGATATTTGAATCGCAAATTTTATTCAACAATTGCCACTGATTCGAATTTTTTAAAATTTTCATTTCTTACTTTGATTATTAAAACTAAAAAGATTGTTTCATTTATTTACATATCTACATAAATTGTAAATTAAATAATAAAAAAAAATTATTTGTTTTTTAATCGAACACCTTTAAATCACCAAGTTTTTGAAATTTGGCATAAAATGGCCTAATCTAGTACAATTTATTCGACTAAATTATCCCAACACTGCTTGTACGTAAAAACTAAATTGAGAGTATTTATATAAAAAATTAATCAATATTTCTCATACTACCTAATTGAGATGATTCTTCAAATCTTTCGGCTCTGCTTGATTGCAAAATGTATTATTTGTCAGTATTGGCAGCTATATATATTTGTATAAATGATCTCTTATATTTGGGAATAAGGCTATTAAGAAATAATCATTTACAAATAGAATTACAGGAAAATTTTCATGATTTGGAATAGCAGTTTTGTAATAGAAAAAAATTTAAAAAATTACAGAAATCTCATGGGCGTATATAATATAGAAAACTGCCTATCTCTCTTTCTTAAAATTTTAAAATAATTTGGAGAAGTATAAATTCGTATTAAACCGCAATTAGTATTAATCATTACTATTCATTATATAAATTTGTAGACTGTAAATTAAAAGAAAGAAACTTTATTTTCCAAAATATTGTAGAACAATTGCTAAATATATGGATTTCCTAGGTTTTTTCTATTGATTATAGAAAATATTTTAAAAAGGATTAGAGGGTCTTATCTTGTGTTGTATTAGAAGGTGTTTCCTATAATACTCTATAAAAGTTATAAGATCTTGTTTGAACAGTATCCAAGTTTTCATTTGCATTCAAATTATTTACTATAAACATTATTACATTTTAGCGTTCAATTAATAATCAATAAGGAAGTGGCTTTATTCAACTCATAAATTTAATAGTTTTTTTCTTAAATTCTATATTTTCTATTTGAACTTCCAAATATGATACATTACTACACTCTGAGCATTCCTCTTTCACTTAATTTTAAACAAATTTTCAGAATATAGTTAAAATTTATATTTCAAAATAAGCCTATAGGCTTATTTTGAAATTTTCGATTAAATTTCTAATAAAAATTTTCGTTATTCTGCTCTGTGTATGAGAGTTTTATTAGTTGTTCACTGTTTCATCACAGTGCTACTACTTGTGTGTTCAAAACCAACTTTTTTTTCACATCAAAATCAAATTATTTTTACTAAAATTTATTTTACATTTTTTGTTTATTATTTTAGAGTTTATTTTAAAAAATTCATATACTTATAAATAAAATAAGTAACTATACAATAAAATATGCATATATGAAAATAAAACAAAAAATATCATGCAATTTTTCAAATAAATTTCAATTATGAAACAACAAAACTTCTTAACAACTTTATTATATTTTCATCAAATAAAATGGTAAAAAAATGAAAATTCAATTAAAATACACATTCAACAAAATTTCAATACATACACTTTTGGACAAAAATTCTAATAAAACTTTTGATATAATTTTTCTCTCAATTGTTATACTATCAAAATGTAATTGGAAAATAATAAACGAAATTGTGATTTTACAAACAATAAATTTTTCTATACACACATTTACATATATATTATATATTTAAATAAACATGGTATAAAAAATAATCTATTTGAAGTTTGAAAAATGAATGAAATTTTAAATTTCTGAATAAAATGAATTTTTGGCAATGAGCAATATTACAGTAAAGGTTTCCTTCGCATAACTGAACAGCTTTTTATGTAATTTCGATAAATTTTTTTTCCGACTTTATTTCGGTTATCGTAAGTTTATTCCTATCGCTTAACGAAATATTTTTAAATATTTGCTTTTTACGTAAGACTACCATTAGCAATACTTGACAAGTGATATACCTAATAATAAAAACATAATGCCATTTTTAGAACTGTTAATTAGTGAAATTTAACAGCACTTAACCGATGGTACACCTCTAAGATGAATTCATTGGTTCGTCAATGGTGGTACGTGCACCGAAGTAATGCGAATATTTTATATGAAAATTTGAATTTCTCTCATTTTCTATAATTCCCTCACAATTTTTTTCTCTCTCTGAATTGGTTGAATCAACTTCAACTTTATCGTGGAGGATTTTGAAAATGTCATTTTATACTCAAAATGATTTAAAATTTTATTTAAAACTTTCAGATGAGGAGATGAACGTTCATGAGATAAGTGAGAGCGTCTTAATATGACGTACCAAAGAATTCATCTTAATAATAAAACATGTTGTCATTCCTAAAGTTGCCTATTCATTAAATTGTTTACTCTATGTATATAAACTAATTTTTGTTTTCATGGTTTTCGCTTAGTGTAATTTCATTTTACTAATTAAAAGCTATTATAAATCACTACTATATTCTACTACTTATTTGTAACAAGAATGTAAATATCATAATGTTTAAGAGTTGATCCCCTTACGTCTTGTCGTTTCAAAAAAAATATAAAATATAAAATGGGCAGCGGCCAGTAAGCTGTTAATATAACGTAGAATATTCACAGTGATTTTCATATATCAATGAAATATTGTAGCTGAAACTGTAAAATAGGACAATAATAGTAATGCAGAAATTAAATGACTCTAATTCATAAAAATATTGATGATGATTTTTTGGGAAACTATTTTAAATAAAATTCAATTATAGCACATGCATTTTATATTTACAAAATATGGTAGCAATAAGCAAAAATTTTCTTTAAAATTAAATTAAAAAAATTGAATAAAATTTAAGAATTTTTGTTTTTAAAAATAATATTATATCATGCCATTTACAATCTATAAAATTTAAGATAGAATTCAATATAAAATTATTTAAATCCATAATTAAAATACATTTTGGCTTGTTTATGTTGAAATAATTATGAAGAAGCGAATCAATAATGTTCAAGCGATTAAATGAATTGATGTCTAAAATAAAAAGGAATAATCGGTAATTTATTAATCATTTTTCAAAGTAGGGAATGGAAACAAATCACGTGATTGATTTGTTTCCATTCTCCCCAATTTATGGTTTCATAAATCCACTTTAAAATATTCAAATTTTTAAACACTCGATTAATTTGTTTAAAAATCGATTATTCCTTTTTTTTTTATCATATACACATAAGACTTCAAAATATAGGGTTACCTTTGATCTTAATGCTGAATTTAAACTACCTATTCTTGGTTCACTTGTAACAACTGAAGAATTTGATCTATCTATTGGCATCACAGATGCCGGGTGTTTTGGCAATGACCCTGTAACGGGTCGACATACACAAGCTAACATTATTGTTATATTTTTTTCTTTTTACAATATAACAATTATATTTTTATTTTTAATATAACAGTTATTAATATTGTTATAATAATTTTATTATATTTTTGATTAATTTAGATTAAATAAATTTTAAATATTAATTTTAATATTAGCATGGATTTTTTTTTTTAATTATAAATTCGTAATATTAATTTTTTTAAAAATAATCATTAATTATTTTTTCACTTATAGTCTTTCCTTTTATTATAATTTTGTATAACAGTTATTATAATATAGTTTTAATTGTTATTTTGATGATTCTTTAAACTTGTATATAAATAATGATTATTTTATTTAATATAAAATATTGTTGAACACATTTTATATTCCACTGTAAAATTAGAAAAATAATAATATGGTAATTATTATGTAAGTATATAAACAATATATAATATCAATTTGAAGAATTCTTAATAAGAAAAATTTTTCTGTAATAAAGCAGTAAAAATAATATTATTAATAATTTATTACTAATGTTTGTTATGCAGTATAATCAGGCCGGGTCCTAATTCGTCTCGGTTTTTAAAGCAATGCACAATATACAATAAACATTGTATATTGTTTATAATAATTGAGCGCCTGCACATGCTTGCTTTTCATGTATGGTAGGATCTGGCGCTGAGTATAATCAATATTATTCATAATTACGCTTAATTATACACACTAATCGGTACATATATCGTCCCCCCCAGTCATCGGGTGAAAATAAAATCTATTACTGAATTTATACTCAAAACTCTCTCATTTATTGAATTAAATTTCCTAATTCTTTAATCGCAGTTATATATTTTTTATTACGTAAAAATGGAAATTGCGCCTCCTAAAACATACTAATTGAATTTTTTCAGTCATACTTAATGTTTTTTATTACAATAACTTTGCCTATTAAAAAATTAGGTGGTACTTAATTTTTTTTTTCTTTGTAGCTTATATATCGGTTAAAGCTTGTGTTCCCACAGCCTCATCGTGTTTTGTTAAGATTTTCAACTTATATATTTGCCGTTTTCAAATTGTACCCTTAGAAATAAGATCTCATTGTGTTAAGCAATCAAGGAATTACTCATTTTATTTTTCTCACAGAAAACAGCAGAACACAACTGAAAAGAACAGAATATGTGCATAATAAGGTTCTAAACAATTTTGATTACGTTCTCACTTTTTAAAAATAGTGTATGAGCAAAAGCAATAGGTAATTATAAACATAATAGGTAATTTGCTAATAAAGATAGGTAAAGTATTTATGGATCCAAAATGCAAAAGTAAGAAAAGTAAAAATTGTAGCACCTTGCAAATGTAATAAATGCATTTTACTGATTGTATATCGTTTCTGCTGAAAAACAGCAACCACCGACTGTAATTATTACTCTTAAAACGATAATGTTAAATTGCTTTAAACTTGATAAAACTATTAATTAAAAATAAATTTTTAAAATATACTCGTAACTTTTTTAAAGTTGTAAAAATAAAAAAAAATAATTAATTATATACAATAAGTATGGCGATAATTAGTTTATAATAAAAAATACTTGCTGACGATTGAATTATAAAAAAACAAATTTAAATTACCTTTTGTTTAAGAAATTAAACTAAAAAAATTTTAATTATTATAATTTATGTGAAATTGTTAAAAATCCCCATAAAATATTTAATTGCCACATTTTCTTTTTGTATTTTGGAATAAAATAAACCAAGTTTAAGGGAATTTTTTAAGATCAATAAATAAAATGACTAAATATGTAATTATAAAAAAATTTACGAGTTTACCGTAATACCCCAAAAAACTTTAAAAATTACCTTAAATTTAAGTAGCACTTGAGAATTTAAATTTTTTATATTATCGTATAGCAATGAAAGCAATTTACAGTTTCTCTTACATAATTAACGTACCAAATTTATAATTACCAAACAGAAATATATACTCGTATAACACTTTTAACTGCTTTATAAAAAAAAAAAAAACAAATATTTTTTTAATTTAAATTCAACAAAACAAGAGTAAAAATAAAAAAAAACCATCGACCGCTGTTATAATTTACAGTACCTTTTTCTTGGGTAACATTAACAGCATATCATTAAATCTGAGATTTTTCTCTCTTCTTCTTTATGGTTTTATTTATTTTTGCATACACTATTTAAATTGCACTTATTTGTTTATTTTTATTTCACAAAAAGTACAAACAAAAAAACTTTTATAATAACTACTATTAAGCCAGAAGTAGCATCTTTCAAAACCATAAAAAAAAAATTTCAATAAAAAATAAACTTAGAAGATAAGATTATAAAAGTAAGAGAAAATTTAAGCTAAAAAAACAGTGGGTGAAGCAACAATACTTATGAATATTTGGTAAGTACTTATTAAGGTTCTGAACTTTTCGAATTTGTTTCTTTTGTTTCTACTATACCGAATATTGTAGGAAAATATAAGAGATAACCATTACGGGATTATACTTTTATAATAGGAATTTAAATGAAAGAAACAAAAAAAATAAAATTAAAGAATTTCAAAAAGTTGAACCATTCAACTTTTGGGAAAAAATTATCTGTTATACAAGTTTATTTGAATTCAAATGTGTTCAAGAGAAAAATATATACAATAATTGTTAAGTGTTTTGAAATTTAATCATAATGCTGATTTATAATATAATATTATATCGTAAAAATTTTGGGAGCTGGTAATACTAATAATTAAATTTTAAATTACAAAAAATGCAACTAAAACTTGGTCTTGTTGAAATAACTACATTAACGAGATTCTTGATGAGATCGTTCCATTTTAATTTTTATTTATTAATCGTAAAATTATTTATTAATCATAAAATTATTAATCTTAATATTATTTAGTATCGTAAAATGTTTAATAAAATTCGAAACCAAGAAATTAAAATTAAAATAACATTTTATTAAATTGTACGAGAAAGAATCTGAAATTTTCATTTCTTTTTCTCAGATAATCATTTTAGTAGTATAGATATGCTGATTCTGTGCCAGGAAGTGACGTCAACACTACGTGTTCTTATACGAGCTAATTTTTGTGGTTTTTTATATAAAAAAACTATGAATATAAGTGAATTTTTATATGAATAAACTATGAATAGAATCAGCATATCTATACTACTCATATTTCTCAACTAATTCAATGTGAGAGATTAAATTAAATTTAGAGGTCTACAATTACAATATTTCCTTAGTTTTTCTTAATGTTTGATTTAATAAACATATATTTCACAAATAAAGTATTATGAACAAAATCCATTACAAACGAAATTTTAAATTGAGAAATTCAATTATCTTATTCTCGAAAGTTATACTGCCATACAAAAATAATTATAGTATAACAGTAAAATAATACCTAAAAAATTTATCTTAAAATTTTATTATTATTTCTTTTATTGTATCTTTTCACATTTTTTTTGTGTCTTCATTTCCTAAGATAAAGTCTAAGTACAGTCAAATTGAAATTTGGAAATTGAAATATAAAAAAATTGAAACGTGAAATTTATCAAGTCTCAGACTAATTTTCCACCTATTATGGAAACGATAAAATTTTACTTTTTGATTGCTGATTTGGTTTTTCTTATGTTTCTTTTTTTTTTTAAAGTATGTTATAAGCGTCCTTGCCAAAAGAGGCAGTGGAAACTAAAGTAATGGAAAGAATGATAAAAATTGCATAATATTGCAATAAAAGACGCAATTTTCTTTGATTTTTTTTGAATAAGATTAAAATGAAGGGAATGAGGCTAAACATTTTACGTATCTTTTGAAGCTTCATAGTGATTATTTCCAAATTTAATAAAATTTTTTTGGTAACAATTTGTCATGGTTAAAATTTCGAATACGTTTTATTTTTTTTTTTGTTTTTGGAAGATTCTATTAAAATATTAAAGAAATTTAAGAAACAAATTATATAATTATTAAATTAAGATAATTTTGGTTTATGAATACATTAAAGGAGGGTTAGATATTTTGGGATAAGAACGCAATGGTATGTATAGTCACAAATTCAATGTAAATGAATTTTATGTCGTTCAAATCCAAAGATATCGTTTTGGAATTTGAATAAAAAAAACCTTTGATAAAATCATGTTTTTTTTTAATTTTAAAATTCAGACAAAAATTAGTCGTTTCCAAAATTAATAGAAATTTTACTAATATAAAATATGATGAATACTATTCAGATACGAATATGTAACATCGGAATTACGAATATGTAATAAAATTCAGAAATCATTCGAAAAATGTAATGAAATTCGGAATTAAAATATTCGAAATTTTAAAATAAGATGTGGTAATAGGTCCGCAGACATTTGAAGCATTAATAACCTGAGCTATTCATTTTTCGTCCTAAATGACCAAACACTCTATTTATGAAGTACATAATACCTGTAAATGCTTGACACAAAAATTTGTGTACGTTTTTAAGAATGAAATTACATTTTATTATGAAATTGCACTTTATTACTAAAATAATTTCAGCCAGTTTCAGTTTTCGTAAAGATTGATTCTAACACACTCTTCTTGTTAATCGAAAATGAAATTTTAATTAAATTGAATGCTTCAATAACAGGACAAAAATATAATTGGCAATTTGCTTGGAAAATCAATTATCTGAGCCAAGTTTCCTTTTATACTCCAACTTTCAATTTAATTAAGTTTTTCAATTGACTTAAGACTAATTTTCTCTTGTTTCCACATTATATAATTTGTTTTGTAGCAAATTTCTTAATTGAAAAATATTTTTTATAATAAAACTTAATTCATAATTATTTAAACAGGAAATTTAATTTTTTGATTTGTGAACACAAGAAAACCAAGAAATAAAATGAAAAATTACAAAAATGTTATACTACTCTACGAAATAGAAAAAAAAATTTTTTTTTCCGTTAGAAAATAAAAATTTCCGTTTCATTTTTTCTTTCAATAAAACGTTTTTTTTTTTTTTTTATTAATTTTTATGTTGTACATTTCAAAGGAAATTAAAATGATAAAAAATTAAGATAAAAGACAAGGTGTTAAAAATCAAATTTAACAGACTGTAAATACGCACTTTAATGAAAAAAGAATCGTTTATATTGCGCAGTAGCTTTTTCTCTTTAGCAAAACAAAAATATTTCCTACTAAT